GATAATTTCAGTCATTTTCACAATTTTTTGGTAATGTTTATCATGTTAACTAGATATAGAAATCCAAATTTTGATCCTGTGAACAGTTACCCTTCCTGTAGACGTTAGCGTACAGACAAATTGTAAATCGTTAAAATGTTAGCCTTCTCGGCCAAAGAGACCTCATAAATTAGAGTGTTCTTCGAAATTGTATCAGTCTTAGTCTTAGTCATCATTTATGGATTTAATTATAGTAAAAGAAAGGCGACTTTATTTTCGGTATCCGAATAGTGCTTAAATGATTTTTCGGTAAATCAGGCTCAAATCATGTGGAAAGTAGTTTGACGCATAATTGTTTCCATTTTGGCTAGTTTAAATCAAATAGTTAGTCAAGTTAACCACAGTAAGTCATCAAACGCGCTTTACTTTGCTTTTTATACTGTTTTTGTGTATGGAGTTGTAAAAATTCATATTTCTAATAAAAATAGATCTGCCTACCAATGTTTGGCGTTTGACAGAGTCAGCTTGGCATTTACTCTTTTTGTTTGTTTTTGTTTTTCCAAGTTTTTGTTTGTTTGTTCCAATTCATCTTGCAACGAAGGTAATAACGAGGAGTTAAATCAAGACTTGGAGAACTGTACAGTAGTTTTTCATGAAAACAGCCTGTTTTGACCATGTGCCCATTGTTTACAGGTAGCAGTTACGCCTTGAGAGACAAAGTTTGACTCACAGCAGCGAAGAAATGCTAGATTTGCATCCTGAAGTAGTTTAATTTCTGAGCATCACCGATGAATATCCACATAGCTTTAACAAATTTAGGCAAGACCCCTTTCTACAGCCACTTTCCAAGGCGCCCGTAAAAACACGGTGTTCGAGATCGCATTCATTATTCCTTATGCAAACATTCCAAATCAGCAAAAATTAGCTACGATCATGAAACCACAGATTTATTTAACTCATAGACGAATGATGACCCTCCCAAATTTATTCACTAAGGTAGACGACCCTCCTAAGGAAACGGAATGCACGAGCACGTGTTTAAATGGCTGTTTCCTTTCCGAGAAACTTCTAAGACAAATGCTAAGCGAAGCGTGAGACAATAATAAATCAAACAGTTCTGAGAAATTAGCGCCCCCTCTCAGAAACAAGAGACACAGCTCGGAGCTTCGACACAGCGTTGAAACTACCTGGCGGATATGGAGAAACGCGATAGCTCGCGTGCTCGTCGTAGCATTCTGACTTTGTTTGTGGTTCTCATCCTGGCGATTTTTGTCATCCTTGTTACGGTTGTTATTGCGACTCTGTACCGCGTTACGCTATTGCAATCTGAGAGAATTCAATCGCTAGAAGTAGTTATTGTCAAACTGACTACTCGTATTCACAAGTTGGAGGCAAGTTTCGCCGCCCGGAAGATAGATGACAAATTTTTGGGCGAAACTAACGCGGAGACAGAGGAAACGACGGAGAAGGAGAAACGTCCGGGTAATAAGGTCTGTTTGAATCTTACAAAGTACTTTGTAGCTCGTTGTCCAAATTTATGCATATCCAATTGTGTGGGTGAACATAAGTTGTTTAAACGTTCTTATCCGCGTCGTTGTTTTCCTTTGCAGCAAATGAGCTCCCATCTTCCTCAAACAAGAGGCAGACGACAATTTTACGGTTATGAAGTAAAAAACGACGGTAGGTGTCGAAGATACTCGCATAATTATGCTTAGGGTTAGTCGTTCATTGTTTTTTACAATGTGTAATGAATGTTGAAAGCCATATTACATTCGACTATGAATAAACATTGCACACTAAACTGCACCGGACTCAAAATGATTACTTACGCAAAGTAAAACAAAAAGATTTCTGAGATGCTTGTCTTTTTTGGGGAGCGTTTCGACCCTCGCCTAAAACTCTACCCCCAGTTCACTGAAAAACGACCAATAACGATTTATGAACAAAAAGGGCATCATGTTTTAAGACAAAATTAACAAACAAAATTAGAAGAGGAACTGACTGCCATGAAATCGAAAAAAGATAATGATAATAATAAAGCAGAGCTTATTCACTCCTTTGAGAACAACACTGGGAGGTAAAAGTCTTGAAAATATCTTTTGTCATGTTAATCATCAAATCTGGGCTGATATCAATTCATTGAACTTTGCCCAGCTTCACTTCCGCATGTTTTCTTCACTGATTGGTTTTCCCATGTAAGTTTTGCATCAGATGATTATCCTTTTGGCTATACAATGACTTCGTCTCCATTTTTTTTGCGTTAGTTCTTAATCTTCCTCATTCATTAATAATAAAACAAAATCAGCAAGCCTAATACTGCGAACATGCTTTTATTCTAAGTTGACTTATCGGCCAACAGTTGGAAAAGCAATATGGGAGACAAAAGGAAGGGATGTCGAATCCGGTCAAAGAAAGTCTAATTGAGCTGAAAATTTTAGAGGACCAACGCGGCTCAGTATCATCGTAGTTATTTAACCGATTCATTTTACTGTTCTGAGTGTGAAATTTCCATGCAGTTAAATTGGACTTGCTCTGAAAAACTTGGGATACGTGACATAAACGAAAACACACCAAACGAAATTTGGCGATCATTTACAAACAAAAATGAATATAAGTCCTTTTATCATGTTTTAAATTTTCAAAACTTTAAGGTAAACTCAATCGCAGAGGTTGATTTCACTTGATGAGCCTAAATCTGTCGCTTGGTTTTTTTTCCTCAGGTATTAAATGTAAAAAAGGTAAGTGTGCAACGTTATCGATATATCGATGTTCCTTGGTCTTACGACTCAAGAAATCATACCCTATTCATGTGCTATAAAACTATGATTGAAAAATTATTTTGTCTTCTTTATAGGCTGCAAAGGCAAGAAAGGTAAGCTGCAATTATGTCATTTTACCTTTAATTAAAATACTCAACTAGCCTTGTGCAAAAACGTTTGGTTTGGTGTGTCGTACTTTGTTTAGAGATGTTTTTTAGTCCACATTCATCAAGTAGTCGGTGAACATCGTCAAAAGTAATTTTTCCCGTAACGATCTAAATCACTTACCCTCCATGGGTTATTTATCCGACACCAAATGGAGGTAAAACCTGAATACAATTAGGAACATTTACATCCAAATACCACGATTAGGCAAAAACCTGATTTACGTATGATCCTTTTAGGAGAAAAGGGCGACCCGGGCCCTCCCGGACCGACTGGGACGAATGGAACCAATGGCGGAACAGGTTATTTTATCTCTTGTTCTACCGTTAAAACCTCAAATTCGTTTCATCAACTTTTTTCCTGTACCCCTGACATTATCCTAATTATTCACAAATTTTTATTTCTTTTAAAGTGGTTCTTCGTAATTAACATAGTAGGTTTCTAAAATTGGTGTTGTTCCACTCACCTAATGAAACAAAAATCCGGAGTCATCTTTAAAAGCCTTGACACTATGCACGTGCTACAAACAAAAACAAAATTGAATCAGTTACCTTTTTTTTTTTTTCGGGCAGGTCCCCAGGGCCCACGCGGAGCAAACGGTCTTAAGGGTGACATGGGACCTAAAGGAGAGCAAGGTCCGCCAGGTATGTTTGGATTCAGCTGCGTATCCAGTGTTTAGAACTGTTTTTCGCCCATTCTGAAAGTTACCTCGAGTACTACCTTGATGAAATTGATATTTTGCCAGTTTACTCCATCTCTTGTCTCACTATCCGTGCGAAATCTGGGATGAAGTTTCGGGAAATAGACGAGTCACATCTCACATCATTGGATTCAATTCATTAATAAGTGATTATAGCAATGGTGAGAAAAAGGTGAATTTTTACGCAGCAAAGAATACAAACAGATAGGAAAAAATGCCTTTGGAGACACGATATTTAGCACCATAAAATAAACTAGACTGAAATGAATCTGCATTATCTTTCCTTAGGACCTCCCGGCCCACCCGGAGTAATGGTAAGTGTGCAAACTAGTTACCAGGTTCTGTCTTCTTCCCGCTTCCTGGAGGAAGAGAGGGGGAAGGAAAAGAGAGACCCTGGGAGCTAGGTTGGCAAGCGAGACCGTTTTTTGCTTTGTAGCCTCGCTTCCAGGGATTGTAAATACTGGAAGATGATGCTCTACAAATGTTCTGGGTAATCTGCTTTTCCCTCGTCCTACAATTTCGACAAGCATAACAGAAGCATAAACTGTAGCTTCCTTTCTACCTATGAAGTTAATAAGGAGAGAATAGGCTCATGTCCTTACAGATACTTGCATTCGTGATAAAAAACCAACGATGATCAATAAATGATAAGCATGTATATCTTGACAGTGACAATGGGTCAATACTAGAATCATTTACTTTCCTAATTTAAGGCAGGAGAAAGCATCCACCTGGTTGGA